GGCCTGACTGAGCTGTGGAGCAGAAGCAGCAGCTGGGCCGGGGGAGCATCTGCAGGAGCTCTGGCTCCTCACCCACCCACCCACAGCTCTCCACCTCCTGTAACTGTTAAAGGGACAGAAAGCAAGGTGCTGCTATTTTGAATCTTTACAATTCCCATGATCACTTTGTGCTTGGGAGTGTCTAATGGAGGAAAATTTGTGTCTGTGGAACCCGGGATTTCCGACAGTGTCCAGCCTTGGCAGCTCTGTGCCACGTGCTGTTTTGCAGAGGGCAGGTGTCTGAGCTGGCTGCCCAGTGCCAGCAAACTCCCCTTTATACCATACTGCGTCCCACCATTTGCTCTTCTCACCAGTGATGATGTTGTGTTTCATATAATCACATACCTTTTTGTCACTCTAGAAATAACCCATAGGGAGTGTGTCTGTGAGGCACATGCACCTGCTGACTCAGGGTGTCAGAGGTTCTAAAGGACAGAAAGTGCATTTCCCTGAAAATTTCTGGCCCTTTGGCTTCTTTCTGTCTTTGGCCGTTTCTTTTTCCCCTCTACCCTAGACCATTGAGTATCGGAGGCCTTTCTAGTTCATTTCACTTTGGGGACTTGTGCAGTAATTTAATGATTCTGCCTGCTCTTTTATCTCTTAGGTCCGTGGTAAAAGCCCTAAGTCTCCCTGGCTTTGAGTACCTGCGATAATGGCAATGTGATGTTCTATTTCTTCTTTAGTTTGCTTTCATGCATTCTGGTGAGAGTGGAGACTTTAGCGAGGCTTTGTGCATGTGGGTCATCCTCAGTTTGTCTACAGCTAAAGGCATACACTTCTTTTCTCTTTCTTGTGTTGTGTGAGCAGCTGGAGAATGTATATGAATATTAACGCCATATTTCTTTCTGGTAGCTGGAAATTGGAGCAGACTAGGGCAGATGGCTGTCCTGTTTATGTCAGTGGTTCCTAACCTCCTTCCCTGATGAAAGCATCAGGGAAGACTCTTTCTCTTTTTTTAAAAAGAATATATACGATGAGGAGGAAAGCTGGCAAAGTGTACAGTTGGCCTTCAGTTTCATTTCCTTTGTTAGCTAGCTGTCAAGTCCTCATCCCACTGCTGAGTTCCGCTTGCAGAGAGATTCTCTTGATACCCCTAGTCAACGTCTTTGGGGTCCTGTGAGTTGTAAATGTCTCTCTTTTACCTTACCTGACCTTTGGCTGCTGAGACTCTCTTCTCCTTTGTCTTCTAAAATTTTCCTTCCCGTCTTCCTTCTACATCTTCTAAATGCTGCTATTTCAGGGAATGTTGGCTCTAGGCCTTGCTTGCTTTTCTTGCTCTGCATTTTATTCCTGGGTGATCTCATCCTCTCAAATATTTATTGCATTTACAATGTCTAATATTAGTCTTTTGCCTGAGCTTCAGACTTGTGTCTCCAACTAGCTAAGTCCATAGCACTTAGTCGTAGCGTGTCTCTCCTTCCAGATGGATTTGATTTGCTTTTCTGTGATGGCCAATGATGTTGAACATTTTTTTTTTTT